CTGCCTCCCCTATCCCCAGAGCGCAGAGCGCAGTGCCCTCTTGCCACTGCCTAGGGTTTAGGGTTTAGGGTTTAGGGTTTAGGGTTTAGGGTTTAGGGTTTAGGGTTTAGGGTTTGCGTGCAGGGATGAACTTCGTGGCGGGAGTGGTGTTGCTGGTTTCGGGTTTTGAGGAGTTTCGCGCCTTCGACTTGTTTTGCTTCGTGATGATTCATTTGCAGCTCAAAGAGCTCTACAGAGAGGGTTTTCCTTTGCTGCGCAAGTTCATCAAAGGTCTTTTGCTGCTGCTTTGCTGCTGCTGCTGCTGCTGCTGCTGCTGCGGCTGCTGCTGCTGCTCTGCTGCTGCTTTGCTGCTGCTTTTCGCCGCCGCCTTCTGCGTTTTTTTCCGCTTTCTGGCCGTTCTGCTGCACCTGCTGCTGCTGCTGCTGCACCTGCTGCTGCTGCTGCACCTGCTATTGCTGCAGCATATGCTGCTGCTGCTGCATATGCTGCTGCTTTATATGCTGCTGCTGCTTTATATGCTGCTGCTGCATATGCTGCTGCTGCTGCTTGATATGCTGCTGCTGCTGCTGCTGCTGCTTTATATGCTGCTGGTGCTGCAGCTTTATATGCTGCTGCTGCTGCTGCTTCATATGCTGCTGCTGCTTTATATGCTGCTGCTGCTGCTGCTTCATATGCTGCTGCTGCTTTATATGCTGCTGCTGCTGCTGCTTTATATGCTGCTGCTGCTTTAGATACTGCTGCTTTATATGCTGCTGCTGCTGCTGCTGCTGCTGCTGCTGCTGCTGCAGCGTTTGACCAGCTGGCTCGAGTGCATTTGCCGAAGCTGAGGGAACACTTCATCGAAGAGGGCGTTTTGGCTCCGGTGTATCTACACCAGTGGTGAGCAGCAGCAGCGCAGCTGCTGCAGCACGCCTCCTTGCACTGGCTAGCTAGCTGGGTGGACAGATAGGTAGATGGCTTGCTGGCTAGCTAGCTAGCTAGCTAGCTGGCTAGCTGGCTAGCTAGCTGGGCACCTAGCTTATTGTCTAGCCACCTAGCTAGCTAGCTAGCTAGCTAGATGGCTAGCTAGCTTGTTTTCTGCACAGTTAGCTAGTCAGTATATCAGCCAGTTGGCAAGCCGCCAGCTAGCTAGCTAGCTAGCTAGCTAGCTAGCTAGCTAGCTAGCTGTCTGGCGTCCTGCGCCCCAACCCGTTGAACCCTTGCCAGCAAACACTTATTTATCATTAATCATTTATGAATTTATGAATTTATTTATTTATTTATTATTAATTTATTTATTTATTTATTTATTTATTTATTTGTTTATTTATTTATTTTTGCAGGTTTTTGACTTTGTTTGTGACGTCTTTGCCGCTGCGGACTTCGTTGGTGGTTTGGGATTTGATTTTCGCAAATGGAATTTCTTCGGTTTTGCAACTCGCAGTGGCGCTGCTGAAGGTTTTGTCTCGATTTTTGGTTCTTTTGAAGTAAATTTAACTCCTTTTTGGTCCTTTTTAGTCCTTTTTAGTCCATTTTAATGCAATTAAATGCAATTAAATGCAATTAAATGCAATTTAATGATCAGTTTCTTGAAAAGAACTTCTAAAACCCTTTTTAACATTTTCGGAGCTCAAAGTTGGGCTCTCTAAACCCTCGGGAGAAGCCCCGAGTGCTGCGCGGCCGCCAAACCCTAAATTAGGGTTTCTGGGCAGCTAAACCCTCGTTCTCTTCTTCTTCTTCTTCTCTTTTCTTATTTTGTTTTTTTTAAAAATGCAAATTGGAAATTAAATCCTTTAAAGGATTTAATTGCAGTTTCAGATTTGCAAGTTCCTCCGTTTCCCCAACTTGTTCTGTTCAGCTTCTTCGTCGAGTCTGTTTGTTCCTTTTAATTCTTTTTAATTCCTTTTAATTCTTTTTAATTCTTTTTAATTCTTTTTAATTCTTTTTAATTCTTTTTAATAATTGAATTAATTTCATTTGTTTGCATTTTGATTTCCCGGAAGAATAATTAATTAACTAACAGAACTGCTTTCTCTCTGGCGCTGAAGTTGAACTTTGGCGGATTTTGCATCTTTTTGCGTCGTTTTAATTGCCAAAAGATTGCAATTAATGAATAGTGTTTTATTTTGATTTAATTGCACTTTAATTGCACTTTAATTGCACTTTAATTGCACTTTAATTGCGATTTAATTGCAACTTTTGATGCAACTTTCGCAGATTCGAAGAAGTGGTGAAGTTCCTCAAGTCCCTCAAGTGCAGCGGCGGCGTCGACGACTTCCGCATCGGCAAAATGCTCGTCAAGCAGGCGGCCAAAATTTCTTTGCCGGCAGAACTGCTGCAGGTTTGGCCAAATTTGATGCATTTTTGGCCATTTTGGGTCCATTTTTGACCCTTTTTGGACCCTTTTTGGACTCAATTGGTCCATTTGAAGGACTGATTTCGATTTGTTTTCTTTATTTTCGATTTATTTCCGTTATTTTCGTCTTTTTGGTCTTTTTAGTTTCGTTTTGGTCTTTTTAATTCTTTTTTGGTCTTTTTTTCAACCAATTTGACCCCTGTGGACCCTACGCACCACAATGTTCCGCAGTTCCCTCCATTCAAATAAATAAATAAATAAATAAATAAATAAATAAATAAATAAATAAATAAATAAATAATAAATTCAAATAAATAAATAAATAAATAAATAAATAAATAAATAAATAAATAAATAAATAAATAAATAAATTCAAATAAATAAATAAATAAATAAATAAATAAATAAATAAATAAATAAATAAATTCAAATAAATAAATAAATAAATAAATAAATAAATAAATAAATAAATAAATTCAAATAAATAAATAAATTCAAATAAATAAATAAATAAATTTAAAAGAATAAATAAATAAATAAAAAGAATTAATTCCACTTTGAATTCGATGAATAAACGAGAAAGGGCCAAATGAGGAAGAAGAAACATTCATTCAGGAAACACTTTGTTGCACTGGAATTAATTTAATTTAATTTAATTAATTTAATTTAATTTAATTAATTTAATTAATTTAATTTAATTAATTTGATTTAATTTATTTAATTTAACAAATTAATTAATTCAATTCATTCACTTCGGTTTTTGTCTTACGACTTGGAACTTGTGAATTTCATTTCCGAATTATTTAATTCGATTTAAAATAATTTTAATCGGATGGAATCAAAAGAATATAATTTATTTAATTTATTTAGTTATTTAATTTATTTATTTTATTTATTTTATTTATTTTATTTATTTTATTTATTTAATTAAATAAATTTAGTTCTTTAAATCTGAATTAGCCATTTGGAGTTAAGTCTTAATTGGATTATTCATTTAAATCCACTGCAAAGATCTTTCTTTTTAATTTAATTTTATTTATTCCATTCTACTTATTTTATTTTATCATGTTTTATTATTTTATTTAGTTCATTTGATTTAATTTATTTCATTCTATTTCATGTATTTAATTTTATTTATTTAATTTTATTTTATTTATTTTATTTATTTTATTTTATTTTATTTTATATATTTTATTTATTTTATTTTATTTTATTTATTTTATTTATTTAATTTATTTATTTTATTTAATTTTATTTATTTATTTTATTTATTTTAGTTTATTAATTTTATTAATTTTATTTATTTAATTTTGTTTTATTATTTTATTTATTTTATTTATTTTATTTATTTTATTTTGTTTTTAGGAAATAAGTCCTTCGAATTTGGAGGCTCTAATAATAGAGGCAAAACAAGAAGACGAAAGAGAGATGCGGGCAAGAACAGAAGCAGCAGCAGCAGCAGCAGCAGCAGCAGCAGCAGCAGCAGCAGCAGCAGCAGCAGCAGCAGAGCCTGCAGTGAGGGCTAACCCTCTGTCTCTCGTTGTGGAAATGGATGGAGAAGAAGAAGAAAATAATAATAATAATAATAATAATAATAATAATAATAATAATAATAATAATAGTGAGAGTTGCAGAGAAAAAGAAATGACTCCCCTAAGTTCTGCTGCTGCTGCTGCTGCTGCAGCAGCAGCAGCAGCAGCAGGTGTCGATACACCCCAGAGGGAGAGAAAGTACAGCGTCGTCTCTTGGCTTGTGAGAAGGGACTCCGAAGAAACAGATTCGGAAGCAGCAGCAGCAGCAGCAGCAGCAGCAGCAGCAGCAGGAACGGAAGCAGGTGCAGCAGCAGCAGCAGCAGCAGCAGCAGCAGCAGCAGCTGGCGAGGCGCCCTCGCGTTCAGCTTCATCTTCAGCAACGCCGAGGCAGCAGTCCGGCGAAACCCCAGCAGCAGCAGCAGCAGCAGCAGCAGCAGCAGCAGCAGCAGCAGCAGCAAATGAGACGCAGCACTCTTCAAAAGACACAGATTCTGACGAAGAGGGATATGAGCTTTTGGAGCTGCCGAGGGGCAAAAAGGAGAAAAAGCAAAACAGCAAAAAAATGGTAAAAACGGAGAAAATTCTGCTGCTGCTGCTGCTGCTGCTGCTGCTGCTGCTGCTGCTGCTGCTGCTGCTGCTGCGGAATCTGTTTCTTCGGAGTTTCTTCTCAATTTTGGACCAATTGCACTTTTCTGGAAGCGCTTTTTAATTTGTTTTTCGTTTTTGCAAAAATTAATTCTTTAAAATGTTTTAAAATGCAAAAAAAAGAAAAGTTTCGTTTTGGCGGGCCGCCCGGGTGTACAGACACCGGAACGCACTTGCACTGCAAACGAAATTCCAACTTGAAATAATTTTGGACTTTAAAGAGGTTTTTATTTAATTAATTTAATTAATTTAATTAATTTAATTAATGTAATTTAATTTAATTAATTAATTTAATTAAATTAATTAATTTAATTGATTTTATTATTTTAATTTGATTAATTTGCATTATTTTGTTTTTCAATTTGGTCTTTTTTCCCTTTTTTGAATTTTCCATCTTCTCTCCTTCTATTTAGTTTTCCTTTTTCATTTTTAATTTCGTTTTCATTTTATTATTTATTATTTATTATTTATCATTTATTATTTGTTAT